CAGTACTGTTTCGGCCTTCTGGGCCTCATCAGTGCAGTGCTAATGCTAGGATGGGGGAGAACCGAGAAGGTCACCCCAAACGACCCAACCTTTGTGGTATCGTCTAAGTATATATATATATATACTTTGATATAAAGACGCTGGTATAAAGCACTTCTTTGAAGACATAAAAATACTTGTGTTCCTTTACAGAAGAGGAGCCCCAAGGAAATGAATGCAAAGATTGCCACTACAATGCAAAATGCATCAACAGAGAATGCGTCTGTAAAGCTGGTTACACAGGAGACGGATTCGACTGTCGACGTATGTGCAATTTACTTTTACGATGAAATTATTTTATCGCATCCCCACGCTGCCATAAGACTGCAAGATGCTTTGACATCCTCGTCTTAAAATACGCTACAATCTGGCACCTTGTATGAATGGCTATCCTGAAGAGACCGGATTCTTACTCGAAAATTATCGACCAAATTTTATAAATAGGCTTGCTATAAAACACCTGGTTTCTTTCCTTGTATAATGTTTGCTTTCCTAAATGTTGATTTTAAAAAAATTGGCTGCATTTCCTGTATAGAGTTGTGTACGAGGTTCTTTCATTGCGCATTCAATTATTCTTTTTTTTTGTCGTTTTTTTCGCCATATCAATTCGTTATCTTTTAATCACTCTATCCGCAGCTGACACCTGCTTACCAGGCTGCAAGCAACATGGCAAATGCATAAAGGGTTTTTGCGTCTGTGACCATCACCACTATTTTAATGGATATGAATGTGCACGTAAGTTGGCTCTCTGTATCCAGTATAAATCGATTCTTATTTCACAAATGTGAATGGGTTGTCAACCTGAGAAGGCTAGATGTCCAGATGTAAAAAGATATATTGCATATACGCACTCAGTTGGATTGTGATCAACTAAGGGATGTTCTCTTTATGCATAGCCTGAAAGCAATAAGACGTTCATCTGCACAGCTTTCATCGAGAGCGTTGCTAAGAAAATTTAATTCCTATACGCCTAAAGTGACTTTGGGCTTTAATAGACATGGCATGCTAGATTAATTGCGACAAGACATATTTATAGTATATGCACTATTCTGTGAAATACTGATCAGTGCAAATGCATCGATTGGCCATGCTTTTATATTTTGTGCCTTCCTCCGCTTTTGTTAGAGAATATTTCCCTTTAGGCATGCCCCCGCATGCTAACTGTGTTACCCCACACAACAAATGAATATTAATTTCTTTCCATTTCCTTGGTTCAAGCATACAAGATAACCCACAGACCTTGTCCCATTCAGTGTGCCACAGAGTGCCATGCGAGATGTCCACAAAGCTGCTGTAAACATCATAGAGTTCTTAAAATACACTATAATGATGCGAATCCCCAGCAGATGAATGTTCCACCAAATGAACTGCCACATAAAAACGCTTCTTCTCCAAACCCAACAGCAGTACTTCTTAGGCCGGAAAGCAAATTGAACGAACACCTTGCAAACTTTGCACCCGATTTTGAGCAGCGACCTGACGACCCAGAGGCTGCTAATCTGGAAGCAATCAGCTTGAAAAATCCTACAGGTGGATTTTCAGTCTCAGAAATGGAAGGAAGACCCCTTCTACAAAAGGAAGAATGTCCAGGCGAATGCAAAACTGAGTGTCGCGACTCTTGCCCAGTACGCTGTTGCCTGGGAAAGTGCCCTCTCAGTTGGATGGAAAGCTGTCACCCTTCGTGTCCTAAGACCTGCTGCTATTCTCCAGGAACTAACCACATTTTTCCAATGCTAGATCCCAAGGTTCAGGAAAACTTCATGACAACTATGATCGAAAAATTCTGTCCCAAGGCGTGCAAAGCAAAATGTAACTCAAATTGTCCACCAATTTGTTGCGAACGTAACTCGTCAGATTCTGGAGGCATAAGGAGTGCAAACGTTCATCAATTAAAGACTGAAGGCAAGCACGGTGCCGACTCTTTCAGAAATGCGATGAGCTGGTTTGGAATGATGAATTTCGTGAATATGATGTACAATATGTACGGTAACCTTTACGGCGCCAATCATTTCAACAAAATCCCTTTCACACCGACGGACCGCAAATTAAAGCCAATAAAACCTACAAAACCCCAAACGACAAGTATCTTAAACCCATCAAAAGTGAATGAGGTTGGCGTCCCGGAGAGTGCAGCGGTATCCGTTCTAACTTGTCCAAATTATTGTAACAAGAGCTGCCGACAGGACTGTCCCCCGAGATGTTGTGAGAGCAAATCCGAATCAAAGTCTTTGAATGCAATTGGAGTCCCACTGAAATGTCCATCATCGTGCAAGTTGTACTGTTCTAAAAGTTGTCCATCAAGTTGTTGCTCGAAAAGCAGCCCTCCAACGCCATCAGGGCAGCATCCAACTGGAGGAATAAATGTTGCAAAGTCGTTATCAATATCTCCATCTCCACATAGTCCGGAACCGGCTCCGCCTCCAGCTCCAGCCCCAGCCCCTTCTCTACCAAGACCTCCAGCTGCTTGTACGCCAATCTGTCCAGCCTACTGGTATCCGCAATGCTTGGAAAACTGTTGCCAAAGAGGTGAGGTTGCTAATAAGAAGTCATCTAAACAGCTAAGAGCTAAAAACCAAGGCAAGCAATCATATGACACTTTCTTTGCTAAGGAACCTAATGGCCCTAGCCAGGACTGTCCAGCGGTTTGTCGACGCAGCTGTGGTCCTTCGTGCCCTTTACGATGTTGTGACCGCCCTATTTCTTCACCAACAGCAACACAACCGGCAGCGCCCTCTCCGTCGATGAATACACCTCTCTGTCCAGGTTACTGTGCTTCGCAATGCTTCCCCGCTTGTACAATCAGTTGCTGCAAAGCTGGGTTTATAAAGAGTAATTCAAACCTGAACATGCCTGCTCTTAGTCCATCAAGAAGAGAACATCGGCCTCCTACAATAACTGAGTCATTTCCACTTCCTCCTCCAGCGGCCGTTTGTCATCCGGGTTGCTCACGATCTTGCTATCCAAATTGTGACGAATCGTGCTGCCGAGCATCCGCCCAGGTTTTTAGGGTGCCTAATTCAAAACCAGTCGGTGATTCTTCCCATCTGACCATAAAAGTACCTTGTCCGTCCGAATGCAGACCGTTCAATTGCCTTTACTATTGTCATCACGATTGTTGCTTGCCACGAAGTGAAACACGAAACTTGAAAAGACGTGGTTATAAAGATCTACGGAGAAAATTCGGCGTAATGAGGAGAGCTAAGACTCCAATTTTAAAACCCATTTTTAAGGCTTTTGGCAAGCGTATTGCGAAAAAGAGGACAAAGATACCCTCGCGATCATCTCAAAGAAATCTACCAAACAAAGTTCACTGAGAAATAAGTTCGCTTGCTGTTGGGTACCTAAACTACGGGTTTTGTTTTCTGGCGAACGTAATCAAAGACCGCTGGATGAAAACAGTTGCTATATCTCGCGTGTTATGAGATGAAGGACAATAATGAATTGTGAATCGACGCCTCTAGACCAAAGTATTCAATGAGCACCACACCCTGGCAAGCTCTGACTCTACCATGCTCGACAGACAAGTTACTAAGAATGATAGAAAGTTACATTTTTAGACCTCATAGGCTAGTCCCTAAGTCAACAAGCTAATTATAGCGATGTTACATTTTAAAAACAAAATTTAGTGTTCATCAACAAGATAACTAGGCATCCCAGCAGGGAAACCCTTCTACTTTTCCTGTCCGATATATCTTTTTTGCAACAACAACAACAACAATTTATTTTGCATTAGGGTGGGGGATTACAATGATTAAAAATTACTAAAGAAAAATAAAGAAAAAGAAAAACCTTACATAATTGACACTGTCCGCAAGTAGCACAGGCTAGTCGCGGCGGGCAGTAACAACAATTTGTTAAGAGTCTTTTCGGTATACAAGGGAGCTTTTAAGCTCAGCAGTCATTCGTCATCATTTATCATTCTAAGTTAATGCAACGGGGGACCAACCAATGACTGTACGAGTCTGATTTTTTACTTGATCACTGATGACCAAGATTCTTATTTCAACCACATTCGTAAGATTTTGAACCAATCATGAGTTCAACAAGAAATGAGCTCGAGCCGCAAATGATTTTTTAACACTCCAAATTTCATTAGCAAAAAGTCCCATTACTGGGAGTACATTCGTTATGATGACAACTGCAATATGCTCCCAAATTTACGTACTTGGCGTGCATTCTAGATATTTATTTTCCAAATTGCTTCATTTACTATACCAAGTATTCCGGACTGGTTTTGTCGGAGTTTAACATCAGTACATCAGCAGGCTGGAAACGAAAAGATTGCCATTGAGAAAGACGTTCAATCTTCTCTCTCAAATTTACAACACTGTGTTACAAATATATTTCGAAAGTTATTAATAAAAATAACTTCAAATTTGTTTGTGGGTCTCTCTATTATTCATAACGGATTACGAAGGAATAGGTTGTTTGCAACCAATCTCTAGAGACAAATGTAACAATGGTGAAAGGAACAAATGCTGGTGGCGAACATTTTACATTTACATTTTTTGACATTTATTTACAATTTTACATTCATATAGCACAGACTTCTATGTGGATATATTCAGTCGCGCTTAAGAGTATCGTAAGGTTGAGATCGAACGTCAGCATTTTTATCAGGCGCCTCTGGCAGCCGCTTCAGTCCATGTAAGGATCTCACCTTCCTACCCATCCCAACCTGGGGAGGACATCCACTACACAGTAATCTCGTGCATGGGAAATTTACGTCTCCTGCCGCTAACCCTGCAGGAGACGGGACCGACGGCTTTACGTCTTATCCGAGAAGACGAGGCAAAGTGAGTGAAGCGTCTTTCTTAAGGACACAACATCATGCCCCAGTCAATTAAGAAGGAATTAAGAGCGACTTTATGGAAATACCACTTTGAGGTGTTCAAGATGGAAAAATCCAAATCTCCCAAACTTTGTCATATCAAAGCCCTTATAAAACTATTTTAGAAAATACAAGATTCAGTTTCTTGTGATTGATATTTTCCAAAAAAATTATTATTTTTTTAATTTTCACCTTTAAACCACCGAAAAATGTGCTTCGCATCCTCGCGTGGTGAATAGAAACGGAATCAAATACCATGACTATTGCGATATAAGATGATTTTATGACCCTTCCTTTGTATGAAAACGTTGTTGTAATTTCAAAAGATCCCAATCTGAATTATTAATTTTTTTTTCAAAATCACCCTCTAAAACAGTTTCATCGCG